TCTGAACATGTGCAGCAAATGGACTGATCCAATATAGTGGACACTGAAGGGGGGGGCTGAGACACACTTAATATAAACATAATTAATGTGCACAAATAAGGAATAGTTGGATTAACCATACATGTAAACAGAGTTTACATGTATTGCCTAGTATTAGTATGGTAAATCCCGCCCCCCTTCCTGCTATGGCGCTCCTCCCATCCAGGACCTGCTCCACTCACTGGTCCCATTAAACTCTGCCCATTATTCCCATTTATGCTTCAACATGATGAGCCTTTACTCACTCCGGCAGCAGGCGGTATTTTTCTGGACTGATCTCAGGCAGGAATGTGTCGCAGTCAAACTGCTGCAGGATTTGGGTCACAAACAGCCTCCTGGTTCCTGGACTCTCCATCATCTCCTGAGCGATCCAGAATAAAACCAGTTGAATGAAACGGCAGGAATGTTCCCTTTAATCCAATATTCCTCTGCTGGGTAGAACAGGAACCGTACCTTGTAGAGAGAGCTTCCCCCGATGACCCAGACCTGGTCCGCCCGCTCTGCCAGCTCTGTGTCGACTAATTTCAACGCTGAGGAGAAGTCTGCTGCCAGGTAGTGAGCTCCAGCAGGTGGCGTCCTAGAGCAGAACCAGATCAGTTAGATGCAACACAAGTTATTCTTTCACTTCAACCCTAAAGGCTAGATGGCATCTAGATGATGCATTTCTATCTTAATGAGTACCAAGCTGCACTAGCTTTGTTTTTATAAGATGACTTTTTCATTTTAGTAACAAAATGTGAAAGTTTACTGCACAATCTGAGCTTAATATCTGAGGAAGATTTCATGCAGGTCTTGTTGATATACGAGGTTCTAACAGTAGATGTTTTACTTTAACTAGATACTGTAATTATTAATCAGTGACGTCCTGGCAGTTTTGTGGATGACTGAATAATGACAGGAAAGTTTGAAGAAGTTAATGTAGATCACATGGAAAAAAATACAGCTTAACTTTATTTGAAAGAGTTTAGAGTGATCTTTAGGAACCCCTAAATAATCACCTTTGTCTGTCTAAATCAATATATGTTTCCTTTCATTGTTTGTTTTCTTGTATGCGTGTTTTTGTTTACACCTCCACTGTAGACTAACAAAGTGTATATTGTTGTTTTGAGCTGCTAAGATGCCATATTTAAAAATGTTATATGTGAAGATAAAAATATTAAGATGTGCGTTTATGTAAGGACAAATGAAAAACAAAATAAGTCTGAACATTTTTTTTAGAGTCTGTTTACTCCAGGTAAGGATTATTCTATTACTAAATTAGTTAATTAAATTAGTATTTCAATAATCTATTAATCTGATTCTTTCAATCCTAATTTTGGTTGATTTCTCTACTTGCCTGAAAGTCATAAAACATAATTTTTGATTTCAGAGTAATTAGAAATAAACATTAAGCTGTTGAATTACTGCAGAATTATTTGGTAAACCAGGAACCGCAGGACTTTCCTAAGAAACCTGTGAGGCCAGTTTATAATAATATAGTATAATGATGAAATTTAAAGAAGAAATAGATCATATTTCTCCCATCTTCCCTTCTCTTTAAACCAGGAT